TCTTTCCTATTCCCAGATAATTTGCGGCATATTTTAAAGGATAACATTTCAAATTTTTTTTACACAGCCTTGGCACAGAATGGCGAGTGGATTCGATGCCTAGTTTGTTTGACAATGTAGCGAAAGAGACAAATGGAGCCCGAAAAATATCGCCTTGGATGCGTTCAGTATTCCAACACATCAATATAAAGCGACTAAACAGCAACACAGAAAATATAGATTAGGTAAACACAAATACTCTGTACTTAAAATGTATTATTATTATTATTATTATTATTATTATTATTATTATTATTATTATTATTATTATTATTAATGTTATTATTATCAATATTATTGTTGTTGTAATTATGGTTATGATTGATATTGATATTATTATTATTATTAATTTTTATTAAGTGATTTAATTCAATATAAATATATCACTGTATTTTTTTTAACTCGAAATAAATTGGAATTATATTGACTCAAAAATGTTATATATGTTTTTTTTTAAGATTCAAGAAATCTACTTGAGCAACCCACGAATCACCCTTCTTGAAACTTGCCTGATTCACTCTTATCAACCTACATTACATTTTAGTTTTTTTAGAATTTGAATTAATATGCCTAAACTAATGAATATATATACATATTATTATTATTGTTATATGTTATATATTTGCATACAAATGTATAGATTTATAAATAGGCATATATACATTATATAAAATATATATAATGCATATGTATATATATAGATAATGTTCAAATTCATATATAGTATTTATTATAATATATATGTATATCATTAATAGATATATACTATATTATATATGACTTAAACCAACAGATGCACTGATTATGTTTAAATAACATATTATACATTTGAATAATGCTTATATATGTATATAAATCTATGTATTCAACAACAATATATTATGATTATATGTATATATATGTATAGGTCAGCCATAAATTATATGATATAAAGTATATAATACTCATATACATATAATATAATGTATAGGCCTATATAATATATAATATAATATATATAGGCCAATACCAGCATAATGTATATATGCTATAAAAACTGATGATATATTTAAAAATACCTTTTAATTCTGTCTTTTCGTTGTGATTCTTATGTTTCTGGTACATCGTTTCAAATGGAAATATAGAGCTTTGTTAAATATTTAAATATTTCTGCGTGTACATAATACACTTTATGCTTTATAGTCCAAAAGATTAGCAAATTGAACATATAAATCAAATTAGTTTATGAAAATAGATATTTTGACTCTTTTATTGACTTACTGTAAAAAAAATCGACACAATCAAGAAAGATTTATGAATATTACAGAATAGTAATTAAAATACACACCATTGTGATGATTGTATATCGTATCAAGCGTTTTTATATTTTCGTCTACAATAGTTAAGTTGTAGCTAGTGGCCATTGCGATCATATTATAATATTTTCAAGATCTTGTAATGTAATTCGAAAATTATCTCAGAGCACGTTGAAAAATTAACTCAAACTTTTTATTTTCGCCGGATGGATTCCGCCGTTCGTTTTAGATAAATAAACACAATATCTGCACAAAGATAATTTATTATCCATGTGTATACATACTTTTGATTGGAAACCGTTGAATTCATGCAAAAGGAGACATGAATAATAAAACACGTGTAAAATGTATAAAAATGTCATAGGCCTAGTTAATGATATAAAATATTAATGAACAGCAAAATGACGGTGATAATGACACTGATTGTTAATTGTAGAATAGAAAAGTACCCTGGTTCTTATATATTTACTTATTTCTCCATATTAATAATATAGGCCTAAATAATACTATTTAATATAATTAGTCCAACTGTCTCGCTTTGCTAAAGTGTCAACGTAATCAATTTACGTCAATGACCAATATTCTGTTAGCAGAACTGTTAACATTAATAATAATAATAGAAAACAATTATCAATGCGAAATTATATTTATTAAAATAAATAGAGATCTATAGTGATTAGGTTTTGTCGATGGAGTGTTTCCTTAAATCATTAAATTAAAAAACAAATGGGTGGTAGTAGTGTTACAATTTATTTAAAGTATAGCCCATATTAGCTCATATTCATAAAAAATTACTGTATTGTGGAAGGTGTAACATATTTTATATTAGAGGTTTATATTGTATTTTATTTGATTTATTTTCTTCTTTATTCTGCGTAGCGTGATCAGTGCAAAAACAGGATAGCAATGCTAGTAATAATAGCTATATAATAATAATAACATATCACGTGAAGAGGCGTCGGTAACGGTTACAGTTTAATCTTAGAACACATCCAATGAGTGCCAGTAGAAAGTCCGTAAGGAAGAGACTTCAGTTAATCTTTTAATTTTTTTTAATTGAAAACCAATACCACCTCAAGATGTTATTAAAGAACATCAAAAAGTTGCAACATTGTTTATATCATTCCGATTTAGCATATAAATCCATATATTAAAGCATACTACTTAAGTGCCGTATTCTGTTCCGCACATAATTGAATTAAAGTGTTTTTTTAGTACATTTCTAGTCAGTTTATTTCAAAACGTCTGAAAACAATTGTAGAAAACGTCTGGAGTCTATAAACTCAAGTGTGATACAGTAATAATAAGATAATTTTTCCTGGAATAAATTAACTATGTACATTAGTGTAAATCCTATAGCAACCAAGTTAAACGTTAATTAACACTTAAATGTTTGATGTCAAGACTTTGTTTACAGGAGTATTACGTACGGTAGGCCTACATTCTGACGTCAACATGCGCGCCTGAAGAGATGAGGCTAAAGGCTCAGTCATAGACAGAAAAGCTTAGATAAGATCATACTAATATTAGCGATTTAACTTTATGACATAAATGGGAATGTTAATTCATATATCGGAAGTTTATTCTCTTTCGAAAGTGCTAAATCAATCAGTTCCGTCGAAACTGCTTCCAGAGCTGAACGACGACGACGACGAGCTACCGGCTGAATGACTTGCAGTCGAAATGTCATTTTGACTCATTGTATCTTCATGGTCCGCCATTTCGGGTCTTTTACTTGGAATCAGGTAACCTTCACCGCCGGATATTATGTATTCAGGATTGTAGATACCCGATGGTTTATTATCGATAATTTCTAGATAAGGTTCATCTTCACCAATGGAATCGTATACAGGTTCGTTGTTGAATGGTCTCGTTTCAGCTGGCCGTGGTGGTGGCTGTGGACCTGTAGCAGAATATTTACAACTTCATATAAAATCTGATGATAGAAACTTAATTCTGCTGACATTATTACTCAGGGATAAATTAAATTTAAGTAAAGAAAACACACCTATGCATAATGCGTAGGTGTAATTTTAACACAACGGACAAAGATAGCCTGGCCTAATGTAATCCTCCTACATGTTTAACTATGGTAATTTTTCTATAGCACTTGATGAACATGTCAACATAACGTATAATGAAATATGTTGTATAAAACCAAATATCTCTATTTCATTTTGTGAATAAATGAAATTATAAACATTAGAACAAATAGGGCCTACGTCTATAAAAGTAGCAGCCAGGTAGCAACGGCCGTAACTAAGTTTTACTTTTTCGAATTTTCTGTCATTACATAGAACCAAATAATGAGGATAATATACACTGTTGTACTTACCATTGGAGAATAAGGGTAGCTTCGTTTCCATACTAAAGGAGCTGAAAAAAATAGTTCTTTTTTTTTACTATCAATAACCAGAAATATAGTCAAAACACACAATATTTCAAAATGCAGGCCCAATATGTCCACAGCCTCTGTAAAACATGGAAAACGCTCATCATTACAGTATATTTCTGTAATAATAAAGAGACACAGACCAAAAGATGAAAAACATGAAAGTTACAAATGACAAATTGCGTATGAAAGAACTGAAGATAACCTAACAACCTAAAAATACATAGGCCTATACTGTATTTATTCGAATAAATGCCCGCTTGAATAAACTCTCCCTCGAATAAACGCCCCCTCGAGAGCCTCATTTGGAATTCAAGCGCCTCCCTCGAATAACCGCCCAGGGGCGTTCCTTTTTTCCTCGAATAAACACCCCGCCCCCAAATGACTGTAAACAAAACTAATGGAAGCAACATCATTCTCAACACATTATATTACTATGATGTTCTTTCTAACCTGGTTGGGATCAATTAGTCTTTATGATCACCTAATAACACATTTTTCGGTAATGTGTCGTAGTTCTACATTTACAGCCAGTGAAATTAAGAGGCGTTTATTTGAGTATACAGTATAGTATCCATTTTACACAAAAAACAAACGCCTCCCCCTCGAATAAATGCCTCCCTCGAATAAACGCCCCTCAAAAAACCATTCAACAATAAATGCCATGGGGCTTTATTCCAATAAATTATTTCAATTATGCCAGCAATTCACAAATATGGTACAGCCCCTAACAAGAAACTCAAACTAACTTTTGCATCACAATTCACATTAAAACAAGATTTGTTAAAAGTGTCATTATTATTAAATTATGTTATGATGATAAACAATGTTATATAATATCAATTATGGTGTTTACATAGATTCTACAGGATACCTTGTCTTAATAAATAAATATAAATACCGTGGTTGAACTCTAGTTCTTTTCATACAGTAAACGGCAAACACAACAAGAAACAGAAATGTAACGGCGCCTGCAGCAACTGCAATACCAATTTTAATGGGCGGGTTGGTCTCTAAAAATGGTGGTTCTTCATCGGCTAAAATAATGATAATAATATCACAGTATTACATAGTACTGCAGTAGTATTATAATATTATAGTAGTAGTAGCAGCAGCAGCAGCAGCAGTAGTAGTAGTAGTACTACTACTACAGTACTTCGGCTTTGCCGAAAGGTCCATTATGAATTACGTTACCTATACACGTTCCGTTGGCTGGTTGGCAATTTCCACCTGGTTTACAGTAGCTGACTTCATTACACCTAATAATTGAGAAAAAAGACATCTTAAGAAAATAAACCCATATTCCCTACCTTTATGAGACGTGAATATTATTTGATACGATATTACAACCAATACGATTTTTATCATATTTTGAATAATTTTAATCAAATCATTAATGTATAGTGTGCGCTAAAGTAACATACTACACGCCGGGGCGGAAGCGGTCCGACAGCGTAGGTCAGGCAAACGCATGACCATAGGGCTAATGGGCTGAGATACATATTAGAATTATAGGCCCTAATTATGGTTTTAAATGTTAAATTATCTTGTAAATATCAGTGTTCTTCCGAAGCCCAATTTTCCATTGTGACAGGGAACTTGGCCTCCGTGAGTTGGCCTACTCTGCTTGTCGACAGCGAATCGGTTGTGTGTGACAGGCTGCGTTCACGGGGTTTGGGAAGGCTACGTGACACCGGCCTTATTTATTTCAAGAACTAAGTTCCCTTCGTTAATTATCAAAGCACTTGTGGTCGTTGCTGGGATCAGAAAACAGCTTTTGGCCTTTTTAACTCATTTTTAATCATTAACTTAAAATCAATAAAACATTATAATTACTGTATTGAAAACAGTTGATTTTTCTTTTGAAATCCATATTGAAAAATAATTATTTTGATATGCTGATATTGAAATCAAAATTTTAAGCCTATTATAACCCTAATTTCAATGTTCCCTGTTATAACCAAACCAATATTCAGTCTATTTCAAATTATTTTCATTCCCTTCTTCGAAAGTCACTTATATTTTTGCATTCCCATGATGCTAAATCAAACACTGTAGGTATTTGAATGAAATAATTTGTGATGTTTAATAAAGCACGATAATTATAAAAATTATTGCTTCGCTCAGACTGTTTTGTGAGTGCATGATATTTTATTATCATAAAATTTAATTGCATAGCCTTTAAAAGGTCTGACATATTCCGAGTGTGATGATGTTCGTTTGTTAGAATTATACCAGATTTTTGATATATTTAAATTGAACTTCTATTGGCAACATAGCCTACGCACTCTGAAAAACATTTTAAAGGTTGATAGTGCTATTTCAATTCCGAGTGCATCTGGAGGTGCCTGATTGATCAGTTGTATCCATCGCCCATTGTTGTCAAGTATAATATCCTTTTGTGTTCATTAAAGCTAGTGTTTTTTTAAGCTTGGTACCAACTTGAGCTGAGCATTTGGCTAACAATTAGCCAAACGGTATGGTTCTTGCACGCCAGGGCCCGGGTTCAATACCCTGCTCTGCATCGAGTATTGAATTCGGGTCTTTTATAATAAGAAAGACGCTCAGCTCCTCGAATAACCCTCTCAGGAGAGTTAGACGAATTAAG